ACTTCTGCTGTAAAGCTTATTGTGACATAACTGGTCTGGTCCAATCATATTTCTGCCAGCCTTCTTCAAGCCAATCAACCTTCACTCCGCATACTGTAAGTCTCACTGGCATCTGTCATTTTCCCTTGCAGATGCACCACACCTTCTCCGCATCACCACCTCTCGCTCGTCACAGGCTTCATTCAAGCCTCGATCTTCATCGCCACCACCAATTGTTCTAATCCCTATCACCTCTGGGATTCTGGTCTGCTTTGATGGGCCATCAGAGTCTAACAGCCAAATAACTGAATTCTGTATATCAATAAATGATGTTCAGTTCCGTCTAATAGTCTCTCCTTATTGAAATAATAATAATAACTTTATTTATTTATTCAGTTTTCAAAACACAGATTTACAAAGGGCTTCACAGTTCAAATAAAAGGTGCACGTTGAAGACAAGTGTGCAACATACAGACACATAAACAGTCACATGGTCAGTCATATCGACAGATCTTCTTCCCACATACACATATACATACTTGTATTGTTTCAAACTATGGCCAAAATTGAAGGGGAATGGATTAAGGAAACACTAACCAATAGAAATGAGTTTTCAGCATTTGCTTAATAATAATAATAATAATAATAATAATAATAATAATAATAATAATAATAAGATTAATAAATAACCAACCTAATTGATTGAGGAAGGCAATTCCACAATTTGGGCACTAAAACCTCAAAAGCACAATCACCTCTCCAGAGTGAGGGAGGGATTAGAAGGCCCTGGTTAGACAATCAGAGAGGCTGGCTGCATTGATAAGGTGTCAGAAGCTCTGCTAAATACACAGGAGCCTGTCCACATAGAGCCTTTTATGTTAATAACAGAATTTTAAAGTGGATTCCGAATTTTATTCGAAGCCAGTGAAGGGATGCAAGGATAGGTGTAATATGTGACTGTCAGCTAGTTTTAGTTGGCAGCCTTGCAGCTGTGTTCTTAACTAATTGGAGACTGGTTATGGAAGACTGAGAAATGCATGTGAAAAGTGAATTGCAATAATCAAGTTTTAAAGTTGTAAATTAAAGTGCGTACTAAAAGTTCAAGATGATTGAAAGGTAAAGGTGTGATTTTCACAATATTTTTCAGATGAAGGAAACAAAACTGGGTAACCTTTGAGATATGAGTTTTGAAATTAAAGTGATGATCAAAAGTGACACCAAAGTTTTTTGCAGATGATTTGAAATGATTGGCATGGGGGCTAATGTACTGACTAACGTCCTTAGTGGGCTGAGCACTAGAACCTCAGTTTGGCCCAGGGGTAACATATATAAAGAAGCCCTGGGGCAGGTGCAGATGAGGACATTGATTGATACATTGATTTATATGAATTCTGAATTATCTGTTTGATAAGTATGATGAAAACCATTTGAGAGCAGTACCAGAGAGGACAACACAGTTTTGTAGCCTGCTAATAAGGGTAGCATGTTCAACAGTATCAAAAGCTGTTGAGCAGGACATTTATCTGAATGTATTATAATATCATCAGTAAAGTTATCATAAAGTTATCAAGCTGATGATAGTGAGATGGCAAAGTGCTGAGGCTTGTATAAATTCAAAGATCGTGATTTAAAAGGAATCAGGTGTGACATGTTTTTGACATATTGCAGTCTATTTACCTCGGCCTCATAAGGGTAGGACTCCTCAGTGTCAATCCCTCCATTT